ACACACATGCAGTATTAACAAGACCAGAAAGGCCGATTTTTGATGCCACTTTTTACCATGCTGGTTACCTGAGCCAGAGAAGTTTCCCAGCTTGCGCAGTTTTCCCAGGACCTTCTGGACATCCTTTATGCTTGTGTCCTGTTGGCTGTACAAGAGTAACCTCTTGGCATCTGAGAACAGGCGGGAAACACTGGTGACAGGAAAACACAAAAGCAACCAGCAGTCATCAGCCCTGTGAGCCAGCATCCACAGATACAGTTTTACATCCCAATTCCAAACTTCAGTCCTTTTCAGTTATGCCACTGCCCTCTCCAGTACAATAAGCCCTTTCTTCAGTGACCACCATGGGACAATCCAAGGAGCCTAATAAAAGATGGCTGCTAATGCAAGGTCAAACAAAGTTACATTCGGAGCCTCCACACATTTGAAAGCCGTTCTTTAAGACCGGGATGGAGAGGGCCTCCCGCTGCCTGTAAACTGCTTCCTGTTAGAAGCACAGTAATTTAAGTACGTCCTTGCTCTTTTCCAATGCTTTTCCAGGTTGCAGACACATTTTACAGCCCAACTGGCCTGACAGCATGAATGCAGCAAGCAGGGCAGGGTATAAGGAAGCTGGCCATAAACTGAGCTCTCTGCAACACATTAGCCAGTAGTAAATGACAAACGTCAGGGAGCATGCCCCAGACCTCCTCTCCAACTGCCTCTCACTCTACACTGTCCGTCTCAGAGGTTCACTAACCAGGGAAAAGAGGCTCTCTGATAAAAGAGCTTATACCTTGTCTTCCACATGTTCCCCCAAGAACAGAGATGAGGAAAAAGCAGGCAGACTCACATGGAGGCATTGAAGTTTCCAACAATACCAGGGGATTCCCCAGGAGTTGGGTAGCGGAAACAAGGGTTGTTGGCATTGCAGATGATCCCCTGTATCAAAACAGGAGTTAGGAGGCAGAAACACATGATACAAGCCACCCCTACACAGCACTGCATTTGAAGGGCAATGCTAATCCTGCACTGGTTACTGCCCCAAATTGCTTATGAGAGAGAAGAACAGCCAACACTAAGAAGGGTTGAGCTCGTGTTAAGTTCCTCACACAGCTGTGGTCTCCTCCACTTAAAAACTACACCTTGTTAAGCCTCTTGCTACTTTCATCTTTGCAGCATTGTTTTTGGCTACGCTGACAGGGATATAGTACTTCTTGCCAAGGAACATCCGACAGCAGGCAACTCCGAAGCCTGGCAGTGGTAAGCACATGCACACACATACTTTCCAACCAGCTGTGCTTCTCTGGATTTGCATGCTTAAGTAACACAAGGATTCTGAAGACCCACAATATTTCTATTCAGACCTCTTGGTTTTCAAAATCTGCTCACCTCAATTACACACACTGTAAACACCAAGCAAAGGGTCAGCAGTTGTGCGGTGGGTGCCTACGTCGGTTTCCCTAAGTACATCATTGCTACCCCATATGGGCTCAGTTTCCAGACACTCTTAAAACTTCAGAGTTCCTAAAGCATTCAAGCACCTGCCTGCCATATTTCAAATATTTTCGCTGAAGTCTAACTCTTACTACTAAAGACCTACTGAAGTTGTAACCCAGAGTTTACGTCCTGTTTATGCTCTCCATCCAGGTGAAGAGTTAAAGGCAGTAACGAGCCTCCTGACCCCCACACTAGGGAGGGGAGCCCAGAGGAGGGTTATGCCCCTTCCTCAGTACCTCTCACAGCTACTCAGAGCAGATACTCAAGGCTTGGGCCACAAGATGCACATTCTCCCCTCTGGTGCTCACCTCGTCCTTGCAAGGGTGCCTGCAATCACACGGGGGCCTGGCTCGCTCCCTCCCTCCACAGCCACAACAGAGGTACCAAAGCCCCCGGAGGAAGAGAGACCAAAGCTGCTAAAGTACAGCAATGCTGGTTGAAGCAGGTGGCTGAAGGAAGATGGGGAGCTTATCAGCCCTCCCTGGAGAAAGCCAAGGACTCTGTCCAGGAGAAAGGTGAAGGAATCGAAGGTTCATTGTTTCCAGTACCCAGGGGACCATTTGTTCCCAGTTCTCTGTTTAAAATAGAAAAGCTATTTACCTGAGCTCTCTGGCTTTTGTTTCATTTTGCTTTTTTGTTCCTCTTGGCTGAAGGGCTTGGGGGTGGGGAGGAAGAGGGAAAATGCTAAGACTTTCAGATTCTTTTCTTAAAATTGCCCAGAGTATCACTTCTCTCCTCCATGCCTTTCATTTTACATGGTAGAGAACTCAAAGAAACTATTAAAAGCAATAGGAAAAGAGGAAGGTTGCGCAAGAATTCATGGTAGCTTTTTATGTACTTGGATACATGTAACAGCAGTTTCTCAAAGAGTAAAGCAGGAATCTGCCAGTTTCAAGTCAGATGAGTTACATAGAAAACAGTCTTAACAGCACACCATTTTCAATGGCATTGCTGTGAACGTCTAGCTTTTCAGTAGAGATTAAAGTCACTTTTTGTCAGATTTTTTTTGCCCCCAAATGAAGTGCATTTTTAATACCTTCAAGGGTCACAGGAACAGAAAAGAAAAGTCAAGCTCTACAAGACACATCAGCAATCTTGCTCAATAGCAATTTGTGCTGGATGGAGTTAATTTTCTTCACAGTAGCTAGTACGGGGCTAGGTTTGGATTTGTGCTGGAAACAGGGTTGATTACACAGGGATGTTTTCGTTACTGCTGAGCAGCGCTTACATGGAGCCAAGGCCTTTTTCAGCTTCTCACCCCAGCAGCAAGGAGGCTGGGGGTGCACAAGAAGCTGGGAGGGGACAAGGCCGGGACAGGTGACCCCAACTGACCGAAGAGGTATCCCACACCGTATGACGTCATGCTCAGCATATAAAGCTGGGGGAAGAAGAGGGAGGGGAGGGACATTTGGAGTGATGGTGTTTGTCTTCCTAAGTAACTGTTCCGCGTGATAGAGCCTTGCTTTCCTGGAGATAGCTAAACTGCCTGCCGACAGGAAGTAGGGAGTGAATTTGTTATTTTGCTTTGCTTTACTTAAACTGTCTTCATCTCAACCCACAAGTTTTCTCACTTTTACTCTTCTGATTCTCTCCCCCATCCCACCAAGGGGGAGTGAGCAAGCAGCTGTGTGGGGCTTTGCTGCCAGCTGGGGTTAAACCACAACACAATCTAAGATGTCTTCTCTGGCTGGTCTGGCAAAAGCCACATAACTCTCACTGAAGAGCTAACAAAATTTTCCCGTGTTTTCAGAAAAAAGGCTCCTCATAGTAGGCCAATCTACTAGAAATAAAAAATCCCGACTGGGAAGTCTGACCACAGAAAAAGCCCAATCCTTGATTCTTCTGCTCCTCAAACAGGAAGAGAGAACTGAAAGTCTTATCTGTTTGTTGAAGAAGACTATGCCATTAAAATACTGAAACTATCTGGCGGCTACGAAGTCCTTGCATGCAGCTCTGTTACTGCTATCACCAGGCATTACCTGCAAGTGATTTCATAACAACACACAGCACTGCCACTACAGATAACAAACCTGCTTCCCTTAAGGCATCCGCAGGGTTGCCACAGAGCTCACCAAGAACCCAAGGTTTCTTTCCTTCTATCTCTGCTCACAGTTCAGGAGAAAATGTTCCACCGTACAGCACATCCATATCTATCAGCATATGAGTGAGGGTTCAGTGGAACCAATCCAGACTTAAAAGAAATAATTTGGTTACCTGTTCTTAGAAGCTTTTAGAAAAACAGAGAGGATTTAACAAAAAGTGAGTTAAAAAGTTACCAGATGCCCTACACTCTACAGTTTCTCATGACAACATAGGGAGAAGGCAGACAAAACAACATCATCCAACATAAACGGGAAGGAAAAAGGGCTGCAGGTGAAAGACTCAAAACTCTGCTTGTGACACCAGGGTGCCGAAGGAAGGGATTTACAAGGAGGCTAATAACTAACAAGCCCAGTCTGAACAGCTCTATGAAAAGGCAGCTCTTGCTAGGTTTGAGTTTATATACAGCACTGCTACAGCTGAGATTACCATTGAGGCTGCTAGTTATTTACACCAGCTGAGCAGACTGCTTATTGCTTATCTTCAGCCCCCTATCCATATTACAGGTATCTCTCCCAATGCCGCTGTTAACATTCAGCCAGAAAAGGCAATTCAAATGTCACGCAGCAAAGTATGAGATTTAATTTAGGGAGGCTTCGGCTACCCTGCCAAGTACTGCAGAAACCGAGTTAGGCAGTACACGGGACCAGCAGCGTCCAAAGTGTAATGGGAAACCACAAACATTAAACACTTAAGCTTTGAAAGGATCCTTGCTAGCTTGAAAGCCTAGCAAGCAGCAAAAAATGACCCAGCCACTGCAAAGAACCACAGGATAAGTGCTGTAAGAGCTAGTTCTTTACTCATTTTAAGCATGAAACACTTCAGAGTGCCCTCCGGAATCATGTTGTGCTGACCCTTAAACCTTACCTTGCAGTAATCAGGCAAGATAAATCAGGATAATCAGGAAAGATAAACAAAGAACTGTTCCACAGTCAGCTAATTGCAGTATGAGGCTGTCACCAATCACAGTAAGATGAAGCATGTTGCCAAAAAACAAGTCATGCTTCCCAAATCAAATGGCAACCAACACAGAGGCCTAAAGATTGTAATTTCCAGAACAAGAATAAGCTTCCTTTGAAAGAAAAGCAGAAATGTGCCCATTTAGGATGTAAAGAGAAAAGCAGAATAGTTTTCCCCCCCCAAACGTAAGACTGCTGAATCTACTGAATACAGAGCTGACAGTCTAATGGTTAGAAGGAACGGAATTGCTCTTGTGGTCTTTAATGTGATACATTAACCCACATTACTGCCTGAAAATGAGATTGCTTTCTTACAGATCTGAACGCTGCTGTCTTTTTATGCTAAGTCACATACAGATCAACGATGAGAAACAAGACTTGGGTTCTGTGTGGGTTTTACAGACTTGTCATAGTTCTACAGCAAATTCTCAGCTAATACATTATAAGTGCAAAAAATGAGAAACGGCAAGAACAACAGCAGCAGTGTACAGACTTGGAGCAACACTAACATGTCAGAACACACTGCAGTCCCCAGGGTGGAAGGAAAGGAGCCATTAAAACTTCCCCGAAGATTTCTCACTGAAGTACGCCACGACTGCCCCTGCTCTCTGTGTCTTGCCAGCTGTATTATTACCTTCTAACCATGAAACAACAACCATTCTGGGTGCAGCTGCTGTGTTTTTGGTACTTACATTCATGCTGCTCGTAGGGCGGATATGAAAGTCTTACAGAGATCAGGATGAAGAAGATAAACAGAGGCCAGGCAACTTCGATCAGCAGCTGGAACTGGAAACAATACAGACAAAGTATTAAGACATCATATTCAAAAATACAGGACAGAACAGAGGTTCCAGGACAATCCACTTGTAAGCCAGGACAGTTTTGCAAGCACTGCCCCACTTTGCTTTGCCTATGCATTCCTGGACCAAGAGGTTTGTTCCTCCAGCTTCAGAGGATAATCTGCAAAGAATTACGGGCTTTTCTCATTGATATGTGCCAGTTATGGAACTAAACTGGGTGTGTTTAAGGGCTATTTTTGGCTTCTTTTTTTCCCCTGACCGAAAGAAACCTCACAACGAATCTTCCCAGCAATGAGCTGAATTTTTAGCCTTGTATTTTAGAGGTAACAAGAAGTACTTGCACCCCATTCTCAGAGTAAACCACTGAGCTTTTACCCTAACATAGCAGGCACGGAAATTGTGCCGCTGCGTAGCTATGCCAAATCTTTCAAATTCAGTGCTGCAGGAGTATATTGGTATCAGGAAAGCAGAGCCACTCAGATTAAGCTCGTACCTAGTTATTGTTTTGTTCTAATGTACGTTTGTTCACGAAGGTAGGCACCCACTGGCCCAGGGTACCTACAGACGGCCAGTGTGCATCAGGTAAAGACACAAAGACCTCAGTTATTTATAGGGACTAGACAACCAGATGTAAGAAAGGCCTGCTATTAAATGCAGAGCGTTTTTTATACAGGGAATTGAAGCACAGAAAAATTCACTGAGATGTGTCGCATCCCACAGAAGCATGTGGACAAAGCCACACTTCAGCCTAGAGCTTCTGAGACACAAGCTGAGGTTTCCCAGGCTTGAGCTCCACCAACCACACCCCTCCCTTCCCACTCCAGAAAGGCTGCCTAAACATGCATTTTATGTAAGCCATGAGACAAGGAATGACTGAAAGCTTTTTATGCTGCTACTTCTTGCATTTTTCCTCCTTTGGGAGCGTGAAACCAGAGTGATTTCTCAGGCAAGCAAAAGAGAAAGCTTTTTGCCTTCTTTCCTGGAAAACCACATCTTTCCTAGTAAGATGTCTACATCATTCTTATTGCAAGCCGGATAGGATATGACCTGCACCCCAGTGGGAGACAGAATCCCCACGCACAAACGTGTCTTCCTGTGTTACACCATTAACAGCTAAAATTAGGCTCGTGACACTCAGCACAAGGCACTCCACACAAACTTTGAGGTGAGACTTCTAGGCAACTACTGTACCTCAAAATAATCCCACACTGTAAAAACAGTGCATTAAAACAAACACCACTTGCTCCAGCAGAGGAAGCCATCTAGGATGGCTGTTCAGGGATGCCCTTAATGGCTTGCATCCAGCCAAATGGCAACCCTATCCGAAAGACATAAAAATTGAGCACCAGAGTCTCCCAGGCACACCTGGTAACAGTGCCAGCCTCTGCAGGATAAGTTTGGGATATTGTTCCCCACCCGTTATTTTCATGCACATACTGTTATGACTACTGGATAAGAAACTCCACTGAGGCCATGCTAACAAAGATGCCAGGAAAATGCCTCAGTATCTTTGGTCTCTGTTTTTGCAATAAGGAAGATGGTGTCAGAGCACACACACAGCCATTACCAGCGACAGCCTGCTTCCTTCTGCACTGCACAGTGGTCTGGCTCCCAGAGGTCAGAGGTGCCCAGAGCTGGGACGCTGACAACTTGTCTACTCCTTCCCTTTTCAGGATCCCCTCACAGCTGCTGCCGGGATGGTGCAGCAAGACTTTTCCTCCTCTTGACAGAAAAGTGGCTGTGAAGCCAGGACAAACCATTCCCTCTGCCACCACTGACGGCCACGCTCTGGCACACACCACAGCCCCCCGCCACCCTGTCTGTAGGCAAAGAGCACACACCACGAGCAACTGCCGCTACACTTTCTGGGCAAGAGTGGTGTCAGCTGGGCTTGTGGAGGCTTCTCAGGGTGACCAAGGTGGCCAGAGAGTCCCTTGCAGCCCTGTGACTGTTACAGAACCAGAAAGAAAATGCTGCCCTTGAGATGAAGCCCTGGCTTGCTCAGAGAAATACCAGCCCCAGCCACACCATGCTGGGGTGGACAGTAGTGGCCGAATGGCCCCGTTGTTGAAGGGGGAGCCTGGCCACCTCTTTTGCATGCCTGGTTATGGTTAATTGCACAATCACGAAGCTAACCACGTGTGGGCTGCGTGCACGGCGCTGTATGCCTCTGCACGCACTAGATGTCTACCTTCGTGGACTGACAGGCCCAGGGAGGACAGAGGAAGGAGGGATGCAGCTTGGACTGACCAAGTTGCACTTGTACAGCTGAAGACTGCTGCATCGTGGCAGCCACTGAAATGCGACTGAGTGGGAGGCGGCTGGCAACTGCTGCACCAGACGCTTGCATGGGGTCAAGCTCAATGCCTCAGTAGCATTTCAATAGAGAGTTTGGACTCCCTGGCCAACCTCCTGTGCTGTTCAATAAAAAACTGAATCCTCTTCCTTTTGCTCCTAGAGGTCAGGACGTTGCTTCCCCTGCTGCTTCCTGACTGTCCCGTGACAGCCCTGTTCATCTGCTGTGGCCTTTGCAGAGGAGGACACAGAGATAGTAAAGGGGACATGTCTCACTTGGGTTCATACTAAGTAGATACTGAAAAATCAAGTCTTCTCACCCAATTCTGTGCTGCAACTACTAGACCAGCCTGGTAAACACAGAAATGAATCTTCAGATGCCCAACAACTCTTCCACCCCTGCTCCATCCCTCTGGAGCAGAAGGAGGAACATCCCATTTGTGCACAGCAGGTGAACTCAGAGACAGCACTTGGCCAAGAATGAACTCCTCCTAATTTTACTGAGGCTGGTCCCCAAAGCATGCCTCATACCAGTTGGCTGATGATGCAGGATACCATTACATATTGAGATCTACACTGGGTGAACAGGAAATCTGCTGAGCAAGAACTAACCAAACTACCACCTCATCTGACACTCAACCACCCTCCCCACCTTCATGGTCCAGTTTCAACGTAGGGAGCTACCAGCAGCTGACCAGTCTCTCCAGCATGTTTGAGGTATCTCCTTATTTGCAAGACAGCGGGGAGAGAGAAGTGTTTTTACACAGTGACCCCTGAACGTGATTTTTCTTTCCTCCTCTCCCCCTGTAAACTCCTTCACCCCACTCTGGTGCTGTTGGAAGTTAGCTAGTACAAAGTAACGCTCCAGCTGCACACGTCAGGCTGAGCTTTGAACCCATCTTTCGCAACGCAGCCTGAGCTCACAGCAGCCGAGGAGAGGGTTCAGTGGGAAGCAAAGGCCAGCCCACGCTTCTCGTGGGAGGAAGGGCAAGGATCAAAGTGACTTCTGGGCTACATCTTCAGCAAGTACAAATGGGAGAGCCATCACCAGCACACCCAGCTCAAGGGCACTGGTCTCCTAACGGTGAAGCAAATAGACAAGTGTCTGTCCAGCCATGATAAGAGCATGGCAAGAAGATACGTCCTGCTACTTTTCTGACATCTTCTGTGAAGTGGCCTTCCCCTCCTGACATCTTCAAGTAAAGCCCAAATGGGGACTGTTAATGAGAAAACCCCCACAGATACAGGAGCAAGCGATATCTCAAGCCTTCACTGTGAATTGACTAAAAATGCCCGTGTGGGACAGAGACTATAAGCAGTTTCATGGCCTTTGGCTACTTGACCAAATACCAAATACCAAAACCAATACAGAAGCTGCCAGAAGGTACACATACAAATACCTCGAGGGTGGAAGTCAAGAGGACGGAGCCAGACTCTTTGCAGTGCTGCTCAGCAACAGGACAAGGGGCAATGGGTACAAACTGAAACATAAGAGGTTTCAGTTGACTATGAGGAAGAACTTCTTTACTCTGAGGGTGACAGAGCACTGGAACAGGCTGCCCAGGGGGGTTGTGGAGTCTCCTTCTCTGGAGGGATTCAAAGCCCGCCTGGATCAAGTCCTGTGTAACGTGCTCTAGGAGAACCTGCTTTAGCAGGGGGGTTGGACTAGATCTCCTGAGGTCCCTTCCAACCCTTGCGATTCTGTACCAAAAAATAGATGAGCAGATCCAAGATCATGACAAAACTACAGGCAGGAAGGTTTTTTCACTGACACACGCTTACCTACTTCGTTTTTGTGGCATTGCTGAAGGAGCCCCATGCACCTCTGCTGCCCAGTAAGCTAGCCTACAGCTACCATGACGGGACAGGCACGCTAGACTCAGACCTCTTCGTGTCATCTTGAAACATGATGCGTTATTTTTAGAAGGCCCTGACAAAAAAAAGCCATCATCCTCAGCGTAAAACTCAGCTCCTCTGAAATCTCCTCCTGGTTTCACCAGTTTAAGCATTGCTCCAGAGGACCCATCAATGTCCTGGAGTTCCCCTAGTTGCTAAAGGCAGTTTGAGAGAGGTCAAGACACATGAGGAAGAGACCATTTTCAAGCTCTTAAGAGCCTAGGTTACATGGGCAATAACTGAGAACAGCCTATCTTTTTAGTAGTTGTACCCAGTTTTAAGACTATCCTCCCCAGCCCCATTGCAACATTCTTCTAAATTATGAGGCTGTTTCACAGGTCAGGATGCTGGCCCATACGTCCAGAGAGCAGCCAGCCCCACTCCTTTCAGCAGACGCAGCCCACAGCCTCCCAGCTGGGAAGTCCTGTCCTGGGAGACCAAGGCTCCTGCGGTACGGACAAGAACACACAGATGGCACAGGAATTCCTGCCATCACTGGCAGCTCTGTCACCACTGAGGTATACAGGACAAGTCAAAGATGCCAAGAGCCCCCTTTGTCCGGTTTTATTTAAGAGTGGACTAATACCAGCTCTGGATTCACTGGACACGAGCCCTGTGAAAACAAGCCTCAGACACCTGAGCAGACTTCAGAGACTGTCTCCATCTCCAGGGGTGAATATGATAGCCTCCCCTCCCTTGTGACTCTAAGTTTCTAAAACAACCCAGCCCCAACCAGCTGGCAAGAACCCTGACATTTGCAGGGTTCAGGAAGCTTATCAGAGAGACCACTTTCCACTCACCACCTCAGTAACTCATGTTCCCTTCACATTCCCTACCCATACCTCCTCAAGGTCAGATCTAACCAGACAGATCCCCTGCACAGGCCTGTTGTACAGGACATGCCCTTGCCCAACACAGTCATCCCCTAAATCCCTGGAGGGGAAATAGCACGTTTTCTCCAGCTTTTAGCTGTCTGCAGGAGTTACAGGAACCAGTGAGCTCTCATTAATGCAAAGGCAGAAGAATTTTAAGAACAGCCTAGTGGATGCATGCTCCTGCGCCTCATCACCACAAGGAGAAACTCTAGCTGCGCATTGTCTAGCTGAACAGGTACATTCCCACACTGCTAACAGATGGTGAGGCTGGCACTTAAACTAATCAGAATGCACGCTGGTAGAAAAACATCAGTTGCCTGGATCTGTCTCCATGCCAATGTAAGAACATGTCTTGTGCCAGTCACCTAAACTACACCTCCTGTTGTAAAGTTACACAAAAGGCTTGGGTTTCTCTCCCTGATCAAAGAGATTGATGATGCCTGCTACTGCCTCCACCACTTCTGCCATTGGGATATGGCAGAGTTTTGTTGCTGTTGTTGCAGCATCCAGCGTTGAAAAGCTTTAAGCCCACATCCCTGCAGCCTGGCAGTGGCCCCCCCGTGAAGCGAAGCAGGTCATAGCATAGGTTTCCATCCCACACCTTCCTTGCTGCACACAGCAGCCACACACCCTCTCTGCCTGGTTTGACGTGGGTGTTTCAGCACTCTGACACTCTCGCATGCCAAGATTCAGGACAGAAGCCTTGAGCACCTTCAAGTCCTCTGGTTTCTGTCCACCCACCGCTCCCTTTGATTTGAATTGGGTCTTTCCCAAGGCAGACCAGTTGCTCTGCCAGGGACCACTAGAGGCAAAAACATTAGGATGCAGGGTGTTTCCCTGTTTTGTTTGAAGAGTATGCTACAAGGCTACGACTTAGACCTCAGAAACCCCTTTGGCTAATACTTACTGTCTGTCTTCTTCTGTAGGTGAAGTTCTTCCATAGCAGCAATCCCAGCTGCGTCCAGAAAGCCATCTTCCTTCAGGAAAGCCTGGGAGCTCCCGTTGTGCAGCAGCAGTGGCAGTACACAGCAGAAATGTTGTGGCTGGGCATTAACTAAGGGCAGAGAATAAAAAAAAAAAGTTGAAAGGGAAAAGCTGTGTCAGTCAGAACGGAAAAGGGGACAAGACAGGGAAAGGCAGAGGCTGCGTTCTGTGACCCCAGGTAACCCTGCAGCCCCCCAGGGCACTCCCCACCGCTGCCTTCTTACCCCATGTGCTCCAGCCAAGCCTCATGGGTCTCAGTAAGCTCAGATTTAGACACACTGTCTCCTACCTCAGAGCTCCGAGGCACAAAAGAATGCAATACTCGCAGGACAACAATTTTCTTCCTTCCTGCCCCAAAATTCCAAGAGTAAGAACAGCCCAGAACAAGGATAAAATCATAGGCTTTGAAAGCTGATTTAGAGACCCCCCTGAATGAGACTGAACCATATAACTCAACCTCCCCCCCCCCTTTTTTTTTAAAGCTTCTTTCCATATTTACTTTTTTAATGGTGAAAAGCCTGCTCTCAAATTAGGAAAGCCTTTGTTTTGAAATCCAGTCAACATCACCACTTGTAGGAGAAAATGCTATGCACTTAACAGGCAAGGGAGAAACATCCATTTCCTTGAAGGTACGTGACTAAGACTGACCCTGCAGCCATTCATATTTGGATGAAGTGAATGGAAAATTGCTGTTGAGTCAGTGTACAGGCCTTGTAACCACCTGGCCTCCAACACTGTTGTGAACTTGGTCCATTCAGTATGCACCTTCCGAGAGTATGAGAAAGTATGAAGGGTTAAAAAACGCCTTCACCTCTTCGGTGGCTATTAATAATAGCATGGGCTTGGGTACACACAGACTTCCAGGAAGGCTCAATGAAATGCAAAGGTGAGCTTATACTACATTAGCTAAACTTCATTAAACCTTTTCTCCAGAGTTAATTTGGCATAACTTAATTTACTTTTGAGTTTAAGGCCACTTCAGATTAAGAGTAATGAAATTACTCTTAATCTGAGCGTCCACACAGGACTTTAGTTAATCCACATCAAACTAATTCTGTTTCATGTACCTGAATACACCCTGTTGACAGGCTCAGTGTTAACAAGGCGGCTAGCAGCTGATCCAAACACACAGTGGGAGAACCGATCCCTCCCACATCTGTTAAACCAGGAACACACATGCTTTTGATTCTAGTGTCCCACATACCAGTACCCTTGCCCTATGATTCAGAGTTGCATGCCTGACTGCAAACTGCATTGAAAAGGTTCCCAAAAACCAAAATCCATGAATGTGCTAGGAACGCAAGACTTCCTCAGGAAATGCTCTGACCAGTCCACACTGGAGAAAGACTAGATGCTAAATGGCAATTCTGGATGTGAGCTTTGAGTTAATGAACACTTGGGGCCTTTAAGTCTCATCCAAAAGTAAATTCCATTATTACAATGACTTGGAGATTAAAAACTTGACTCTAATAATATATGTCTGTGTTACAAAAAAAAAAAGTTCCCTAACATGACTAACAAAAACAATTAAAGCCATTACGCCAAGTTCTACACATAATTACATTGTGGTATCACAAGAGGACAACAGTGCTTCTTAATGCCAGTTCGGGGAAGCAAAGAACAATAACAGACGCCTACAAAATCCTACAAATTGAACCTGGTGTCAGCACACAGGCAGCCGAGCGTACAGTCAGCATGGGCTCATTAACTTCTGCTAGGTACGGCTGTAATTCACCGACATGACCTCTACAGATGCTCCTTCACAGCGGGATGCCCAGCTGATCTGACAGGAGAGCGCTCCTCCCCTGCCCAGTGCTTCCTGATGGTTGGAGCACCTTGACGCCAAACACATCCCAGCTGCATGCACATCAGGCTGGTAAGCAGTGAATTCCCCAGGCATGCTCACAGTGAGGCACTTGACAGGCTAATAGCACATCCACAGCAGGGGAAAAAGAAAAAAAAACAAACAAACCCTGCCCTTTGTGGACAATTTCAGAGGACAAACCCTGGCTGCTGAGGACTGCGCGTGCATGCTGACGGACCCAAAGCACACCTTTGCTTACAGGCTTGGATACAGGGGGCTTTGCAGCACCTCCTCTGCGTGTCAGCATTAACACACTGAACGCTGCAATTAACTTGTAACCCAGAAACAAAACAAAGTAGGGAATATTATCACCCCTCCTCCGTACCCCCTCCACTCACCCGTTTCTGCTCAGGATTTGGGGGATTTGGCAACAACGCTTTTAACTCGCCCTGCTGAGCAACCTGGATTACTACTCAGGTAGTGCACAGGCACTCTGTGACCACTAACAGCACAAAAATCTTCCATGGAACACTAGGAGAACTGCTCTTTTCAAGCATTTTTTCCACAAGGATACTGGTCTGTGGGTCACAGGCCTCCATTTGCTTTGCTGTGCTCTCCAGCATGCATGCCACAAAACATCAGCCCTTCTGCCCAAGTCCAATCCTGCAGCCACTGGGCAAGTTTGGCATACAGAAGTAGAGGACAGGAAGGGACTGCACAAGCTTCTGCAATCGCTGGTAGTTATGTCAATAGATTTTACCCTCTGAAGGGTGTTCAGAGTACCCACTCCATATTCCCCCCATCTAGAATACTGCCAACTCTCTCTAACAAGCTACCTTCCAATGCTTTCCAACAATTATAGCCAAATACCAAAATCCACATATATAAGGTGCCCCAGGAAGAGTGCAGCAAGGATCCCAGGAAGAGCCAAAGAGACCTTTGACATCCTCATCAACAGAAATCCACCCAACTCCTGTGCCTTAATAACCTGCACAGAGGCAGAATAAAATCTGAAGCAATCTGTGGAATGTTTGAGCTAAACTGAGTTAATCCACGTAAGTGGAAATCCAGACATTGGTCCCTTGCAATTGCAGTCAGTTTGCAGGATCCAGATGACAGAAATATTGCTTTATAGAGGTTGTAGGGTTCACATTGCGCTAGCAAACTGCAGTGAGATAAGAGCACATATTTGATCATTTAACAGATCTCAGCTGATCAGCAGAAGCCCATGCAGCCGGGAAGACTCAGCTGTGGCTGTCTGCTTGGACTCCAGCTCTCTGGAGTTCAGCTAAACTTTACTGGGAACAAAGCAGATGTTCTAGCCTTCAGATAGGGACAGTTTGCCTGGACACAATTTTCAAATGAAGCAAAAATACTGATTTATAAGGACTGTGTCTTAAGACTGGTAAACCTGGCCCAGAGGTAAGCACTACCAGTCCCTACATTAAACTAGGGGACAGGGCCTGACACTGGACTAATCACCAAGAGCAGAAAACCTGAACCTGAAGCATGCCCAGTTCTTCCTCCAGCCACACTGGGATGACAGCTTCAAAGACATACTCTGCCCCGGTATCTGTTACAGGCGGGGTAATGCAGGTTTGCTGATGCCTATAGCTGTCTCCACTTTTTATCCACAGAAGCTGACATATTTGGTTCACTGCTGATAGAAGTTAACTAGGTCCACTTGAATTACTAATGCATCAGAAAATGCTCTGCAAGCTAAGGATCTCCGAGAAAATGGGTTAGCGCCCTTTCAGACATTCCTCCAGCTGACAACAGGCAAGAGTTGTAAGCCAGAGACACAGAAAACTGATAGACCCATCACTCCCAGCTCAGCTGGAGCTGAAGTCCATCTGTAGACCAGACCGGTAAATTCCACATAGCTGGGAAATCCAAGTTGCCATTTTGCACTGCAGTGCCAAAACGCACAAATACCAGCTAGTTTCCAATGCAGGCCTTTCTGTCTCACCTAGGTAAAATTTTGAGCCAACAGCAGGTATCAGTGATGGCTCCTGATGCTTAACTGGAACGGTCTAAAGCAGCACTACTGCTTCTGTCTAGAGTAAGAAAGGCTGTGTGAATTCATAACCGTAGCACAAGTTTTCTGCAATGTAAAGCACCACAGCTCCGCTGAAGAGAATGTGGATTTATACCTGGCAATACTGGACCCATCCATTTAAAGTGCAATCTCTTGCTTTTATAAAGCACTTACTCTGTGAAAGTAGGCGGAATTCCCTCAGCTGCAACAGACAGTGCAACTTAGCCGTCAAGAGGTCTTTCTGTACGACATCTTATTTTCACACCCAATCTTTTCCTTGTGTGAACACTGCAAGTCTTCCAGTAGAGGCAGATACCAATATACAGAAATTTTAAGCCTAGAGGCATCAGGCTTACTTCTCTGCATCTCCCAGAAATCTGTTTTTGTCTTGCTCTGCTTCAGCATTTTTCCACCTCTTCACCAGCACATACAACACAACTGCAAAACTTAAAGACTACATGGGGAACACCAGGGGACACTCAAATTGCCTACAAGTTTGGGGTACACCTGGCAGCTGCCTAGTAATTCGGGTGCAAGCTCAAACTGCCACCTTGCCACAAATGAATAGATATCCTCAGAAGGGGCTGTCTGATAATTGAAACAGGTAATGCATGTTTGGAATAAAGTCCTGAATCCAGGCACACAGCACAGATACAGCACTGATCATTCAGTTAACCAGCCAGCCAAGACAAAGTAAGGGTTAAGAAGCCATTTTGTATTTACCTAGCAAATAAATGGTAGGGATTCAGTATATATATATGTCCCTGCATGCTCTATCAACACGCTACTTGGACTTGTGTGCAATTAACACGCTATTTGTCAGGAGTCTCAAGTTTTCCCCAATTCCTGACAAAAAAAACGGACAGGGGGGATCAAGTAAAAGACATCCAAATACTTCCCCACATCTTCTGATAAGAGTTTTCCCCCATGTGTTCCCAGGGAAAAGCTTCTCCTTATAATTACAAAAGAGCTCGCTTAGCCTGCAGAATCAGTGGACACCATAGAATGGGCAGGAGGTGCAGAGCAATCGGCACGTACCTTCTGATCTGGGCTGGGGTTCCTGCTTTGCTCTCGGCAAAGTTCTAACACCAGTCAGGACCTTCTCTACTCACCCAGACCCAGAAGCTGCAGAGCCCACCAGCACAATCACAGCACAGGGGTCCACACGCTTGTCCCACTGCCTGCCTTGGCAGAAGACTCGCTGCTTGTGACACTTCCCCCTGTGGCA